CCCCCCCCCAAATTTACATGTTAGAAACAAGCAATACCAGTGGGATCCAGAGGGAAGTCTGATTTACTCAAGATTGCAGTCAAGTAGCATTCTCCAGTGAGCTGGCAGAGTAATACTAGTAGTTGTCCTGAGTCTACACACAGTCATGTAGTTTTGTTAATATGAGGAAAAAAACTGGCCATGACACTGCATGGAAAGATCCCTGAACAATCCCAGCCCCTGTCTTTGGCAGAAAAAGATGAAGCTTAAGGAGTGAACTTAAACATCACACAGTGCAGTAAGGTATCACTAAATTATCAAGTTGGCTCCATCATCCTTCTGCTTGAGTCAGCTGTCCTGCTGAACACAAACATATATATCTTTTTTTTTTTTTCCAGAATTTTTGGTTCTTATAACTAATTCACAGGCTCCCTCTGCTGGGCTACCAGCATAGGAGGCTGATGGCAAAACTCATGTTACTTGCAGATTGACCCATTTTCTTCAGGTTATTTTGACACTTTGTGCAGCATCAGAAAAAGTATTTGATCAAATTCATCTAAATGGCTTTTTGGAAGTGTGACAGAGAGGTTTGATGTGTTAGGTGCATATTAGAGTGTTTTTACATGCAGAGAGGAAGGTTTTTTCCACAATAATGTAAGTGTAGCTGTTACCTCCTAAAAGTATATGTGCATCTATCAAAATGATGCTTGGCTTCAGTAATGCTTTCAGTTACATACAGGAAAGAGCTCTAAGAAAATAAATACAGCTCTTTTAAGAGAATTAGAAGCTTACAGTCATCAAGTATACTCAGTACATTGCGCAGTTCTATGTAGTGGTGGTTTTCAAAAGGCAAAGCATGAGCCAAGGGGGGCTTGTACAAGGAATGATGAAGTGCTGAAAATGTTACAGTAATCAGAAGCAAAGAAGAGCTAGTCCTGTTTTTTACTTCCTACTTCTCAAGGTCAAGATTTGTGTCTACAATCAAAACACATATTTAGAGCTGGGCATTGTCAAAACTGATACATCACAAAATCTCTCCTAGTAGATTGAAAGGAATTGTGAAATCATTCTCTTCTAACTAAACAATCTCAGGTTGAGAAAGACTTCTAACAACAAAAAAGGATGGATGGTGTTCTGTGATTACTGTAGACATAGCACTTCCTTGCTGGCTTTTAACAGGGATTTACTGAATGAAGTATCTGTCTCAAATAACTCACAAAACTGTGGAATGCCTTAATGGGAAAAGGCATATTGCCTGCAGTGGCACAAGAGAAAAATGGAGAGACTTTAAAAACAATCACAGTGGCTTTTTTACTGTAGGTCGGGCTCCTAGGCACAGACAGTAGTACAAATACTAAGTATTACAGTGCTTCCTAAGTGTTGTACTTAAAGTAAAAGGTATATGGGAATGTAGCTGTCGCCTGTGTGAGCAAACCAGTTATTTACAGCACACAGAATCAGTGGGCAATGATATAAAACAGAAAATAAAGAACTCCACCAACCTACTGATACAGAAATTGCAGGGGAAACGTGGAATGCCTGTATTCCAAACTTCAATCTACTGAGGAGACTAAAATGAACATTTCTAACATCAATTGAGACAAAATCACCAGTTTTGACTAAAGTGGACAGACCACCTATACTTAACCTGGAAAAGGAACATGTATAATTTATATGTGTTTGTTAAATAGCTGAAAGCTTAAGAAGGCAGGTGTGACAGGAGAAGGGGGAATGCCTTAAACTAAAAGAAGACAGCTTTAGACTGGCTATTAGGAAGAAGTTCTTTACTGTGAGGCACTGAAACAGGTCGTGGTGGAGAAGTTCACATCCCTGGAAGTGTTCAAGATCAGGCTGGATGGGGCTTTGACCAGCCTGGTCTAGTGGAAGGTGTCCCTGCCCATGGTGGGCAGTTGGAACTAGATGGTCTTTAATGTGCCTTCCATCCCAAACCGTTCTGTAATTCTATGATAGGACAGGTTGTGATATCTTTAAAAGTAAAAAAATAGTTGGCTGAAGTTTTAAAGCACCAGCAATATATCTCTTAGCGTCAGTAGTCTTTTGGCTAAGTACTGATAGGATGAAGAATAATTTTACCTATGCTTATGCTAAATGACATTCAAGAAGTTTCTCAAAAGATGTGTCTATCTCAAGCATGACTTTTTTTCTACGTAGCATATTCTCATATTGGCTTTATTCTTCATCAAAGCATCTGACAGCTCCAGAGGACGTGATATCAATATGCAATTTATATCCTCAAAGCCTTGAGGATGATCAGTCTATTTCTTTTCTGTTCCTAATTAAACATATTGCTTCCATAATTCCCAGGGGCAAGGAGGCATTGTGACTACACTGAAATGAAAATGAACTCTGTAGAACCACAGCTACATCATCGGTGGTTATGATTAATGTATTCTGTGATTGTTGTTTTGGTCATAAGATTTAGCAGTTTTATTAAAGATACTGTAAGGGAGCATATAGAGACAAGTCACAATTTTCTTTTCTTGAAAGAAATACGAGAAGGTTTTAAGACAGAATTGGTTGAAGTAAAATATAGCAAGTCAGGGGAGATCTTAAGTGTGATTTCTGATTATTCAGACTTTGCCAGGCCAGTAATAATTATGGTTAAGTGAGGGTTTCTGTTCCAGCCAACCATTTCTTAGAATAAGAAGCAAATACAAATCCTTCTTATTTAAGTATTTTGGGAAACAGGCAGCAGCCCTACAATGATTGTGAATTGAGGCTCTTGTTAAGAGATAATTTTGTAATTAGCAAAAAATAAGGTTGTTTTCCAGATACACACGTAATTTTCTTTGCCATTTTCTTTGGTAATGTAGAAGTGGATCAGGTGGGTTGATTTCTATCATCCATTCTAATCACGATTCTAAATATCATTTTTCATCTGGCTTTGCATGTGGGCTGCTTTTGCATTCTGTAAAAGAGGTGATATTCATTAGCATATTTCATTATGCCAGATAAAAGGGTATACTATGTATACACTTAAGTATTCATACTACTTAAGTGCTTGACTTTTTACACTTGCTTTATATTAAAAAACGGTGAACTGATCCTTCTTTATGCAGCATTGTGGAAGGCTGGATTTGGGTAGAAGTTTGTATGCATTTAAAATACACAACCAGCATTTTAAAATAGACATTAATTCCACTTAAAAATTAAATGTGGGGAACATAAAAATAAGCTTAGCAAAATATGGTCTGTATTGAAAGGTAGCTGTTAATATTAAGTAAAGGGGTTACTATGCAGGGAAAATGAACTAAGATTTTTCTATCCAGTGTGCCTTTGCCTTCCAGGATTACCATTAGTGGACTTTATCCTTCACATTTATTTCTAAGGGGTTACCTTACTAATGGTTTTACAAGGAAGGTATGGAGTCTGGAGGAATAGGTCGCAAACTGGCAGATATTAAAATGAAAGCTCTGGAGAGAATTCAGTGTGTCTTCTTATTCCTCTGCTCTCCTAATTTGCTTAGGATTTAAACTGTTTCTTTAAATTCTGTGAAGCTAAAATGATTCATTTAAAAATGACTGAAAATGAGTGAAGTCTCCAGATGTTAATGGCTTATTTACTTCTACTGCAGCAACATTAAAGAACACTAATGAAGATCAGAAGTAGGTTGTTCTCCAGGGTATAAATATCATAGTCATTTGGAGCAGCTGTAATAAAATCCCTTGTTATCAGGGAGCAAGGTGAGACAGACAAATAAAATATTTCAGCCGTTAGTTTTCAGACAAGTTTTAGGTGACATTAATTTTCTGTAGCATCTTTTACGTGCCAAATGAGAGAACATAGTTTATAACATATGTTGCCTCCATACTTAATGCTATCAGTATTTTTTAAACTTTTTATCTGAAGAAGTAAATGAAAATCCTATGATAATACAAATTATAGCAAACCCAAATGAGTTCAGAAACATTTCAAAGACATCACCTTGATATCCCCGTTAGTTTTAGGGTTACCATTTATCTTGTCAAGACTATTTGTGCAGCCTTTTTCTATTTTTTTTCCTGTCTCACTTTGCCTTTTTTCTTTCTCAGTTCTCTTTTCATAATTTGAAATATATTTCTTTAAAATACTGCTGCCATACAGGCTTTCCCCTAAAGCCAAAACAGTACTTCAATCAAGGTGTTGGTTAGTAAAGTGCAGGTGGGGCTGACACAGAGGAAATTGCCGAAGATTGCAGTGAATTGCATATAAATAGAGTCGTAGTTAAAACCTGTAAAACTGATCCTTCACTGAATGCTTTAGGTCAGTAACTTGGAAAAGTTCATGTCTGGTGAAATATATGATTTATCAGTCTTACTTTTGACACCACTAAGAGTAAGGCATTAGTCATTTCTTAGGACTGCAATGAAGGCAGCGTTGCCCTGTTCACGATGATAAAGTCCCATAAGCATAGCTAACCTATCTTCATAGAACATGCACTTCATTTTTCACAGCATCTTCTTGAGGTAAGAAAGCCTGATTTTTTTACTAAGATGTTTCTGAACCCACACACATAATAGTGATTTTCAATAAAATCTGGTACCCTCCTCTTTGCTTCCTCTTTTTTTATCTTGTCTGTAGAAAAATCTGTCTAGCCTGGTGTGTCCTAATAAAGCCTGTAACACAACTTCTCTAGTCTTTTCCTTTGTCTTATCCTAGCTTCTCTTCCTCCAGTCTGGAGGCTGCTGTTCTGCAGCTTGCCTCCTGCTTGCTGTCAAGTCCTAGACGCTGGATCTTTAGGAAGGAAAAGCTCTTAGTGGGCCTCTTTTCACCTCATCTCTTCAGCTAAATGTTTGGCATTCCCTTCCTGAGACGGGATGAAACTCTGTTTTTGAGAATCATTATGTAAATTGACTATGTTATGTAAGGAACTTTTAATAATGATGTACATTACAGCATGCTCATAAGATTAAAGGCAGTACTTTGTCTTGTGTATCAGCAAAAAAGCAGAGTCCTGAAAAATGTCTTAAAAAATTAAATTATTATAATAGACTTGATGTTTGTTTGATGTTTTTGTTTAGGTGCTGACCCCAGCACAAATAAAATCAATTTGCCTGGCCATACTCGAATCAGGAAAACAGTATGCAGTGAAGAAGAGGAAACCATTCCCACTCATGTATTCCTACTACGGGACAGAGTATCTTGGTGAGTAAAACACACCAACAGCTTTGACAGTGATGCTGTGTGTAGATGCTGAGCTAGTAGGCACTTCAGAAATAAAATACATAAAATCTACAGTGTGAGATTTCTCCTGACCCAGTTGGGACCATCCAACCTCCTAAAACTGCTAAGAGGGGTGAAGAGCTGGAGGGAAGGACTGATGCTGCCGAGCACTGGGGAACACAAGAGGTGCCTGTGCTGCACCAGGGGAGCAGCAGGGAGCAGCTTCATTCCTCTCTTCTTCTTCCTGCCCTGGTAAATCTGCCTTGCCAGACAGAGGCAGCGAGAGGTGCCCATGTCTGTGTGGAGCAGGTTACCCGAGGGAACAGTCAGGGATGTTTTTGTAAGCTACTGTTGCTGAGCGATTTGGGCCGTAGCAGTGCAACTCAGACATGTGGTCAGGTCCTACACAGTGAGAGCAGCTTTAGCTGCAGCTCATCTGAAGCAGTGGGGAAAGGCCATTGAGCAGCTCCCTGGCAAGGTCCTCAAGGTACAATATGCAGAAAGTGTGGGATTGATTTGCATATATTAGCGAGTTCTCTGGCAGGCAACCAGCAGGAGAAGTCACTGAGTTGTGTGTGTGCCACAGACCCTGGCAGGTACAGACAGTTCTTGCACTGAAATTTAGGTTTTAGCTGACTGATACTGTCAGTCGGGAACTGAGAATACCCATTTATGGCCCAGCTTCAATTTGAATTTCAGTTCAGGTTCAGTTTAACTTCATGCACTGAGTTTCAGTCATATCCTAGTGAGAGCAGAAAAAATTCATATATATTTTTGCTAAGCTGGAGGAATTGGAAATGACAGAAGTAGTAAAATATCTTTTATTCTAAATACTGTTGTAACATGCATAAAGAAGATGAAGGAGCTATGTGCTTGACAAAGAAATCAATCCCAAGGGAAAGTTGCCTTGTGGTGGAGGTAGGACCCTCTAATTTGATTGTTTCTGTACTTTACAGGTGCAGCTCATGGGCTTTCGTCAATCCTTCAGATGTTGCTCTCCTACTATGAGTACCTGCAGCCAGCAGATCAGGAGCTTGTGTGGCAGAGTGTGGATTTCCTTATGGACCAGGAACAGAACAGCAACTGGCCTCCTGAGCTGGGGGAGACGATCGAGCGGGAGAATGAGCTCGTGCACTGGTGTCATGGAGCTCCAGGTTCTTTTTTGCCATTGATGCTTTGAATAGCCAGATGCTGATCACATTGCTTTTTCACGTTAGGTGATTCTATGTAGAAGATAATCTCAGGTTAAATTTGACTGGTTTTGACCTTTTAGGAGATGCAGGAAAACTATCTAGACTTCTTCTTCCAGTTCAGAGTGTTTTATTTATTGCTGAAGCAGCTGGAACAAGAGGTATATTTTCTGCCTTAAAAGCATAGGTGATCACAGCTGAAAGAGTTCTGGTGATCCTGTTTTCTGCTTTTGCTCCCATTCGTAAGACCTCAAAGACTGGTACAGCTGAGTCAAAAGACAGCATATGGCTGGAAAGAAAAATGGTACGTGAAAGAACACAGATACAGACACATCCGTGAGTTTGGTGAAGGACTTGAGAATACCTCTTTTTTTCCCTGTCAGAATCAAAGTTTAAACTGCACTTGTTACATGGATAACGCATAATTTGACCGAAGTATTTTCATGTGAAGTATAGTTTGTACTAGCAAGAGGCATTTTTTTCTGAAAGTAATGCATATAAAACTGCTTTTCAGAAAAAAAAAAAATCAATCCTTAGTTTGGGTTCATGAGGTGAGGCTGATGTCTGTCAGCAATTTTGGCAAGTAGTGCTGCATATTGAAAATGCTGCTTTACCTCCAGGCAGAATTTTATTGCTAACGAGTGATATTGTCTTGATAACAATGGCACTCTAATGAAGTGGAGTAAAAACAGCTTCTGCCTACCAAACTTTATTATGATTAATTTATTTAAATCCCCTCTAAAAATAAGCCAAATAGCTCTTATTTTTTTTTTTTTTCAGTATGCATAGCTGTGTATAACTAGAATAAAGCAGTATGGGCCCCAGTGGGGAAAAAAGTGCGTTTCTTTTTCTCATCTAGTAAAAAAAATTATCTGTTGCCAATGTAAGAAATTATCTTGCCCATCCTTCTGTTTCTGTCAGTGTAAGTAGGTGAGGTGAATGGGGATTTGGAAATAGCAGAAGACAGTGCTAAGAGTTTACTGTTTTAAAGGCAAAAATGTGACTGCTGTTTTAAAGTGATAAAAGTTTGGGAATCTTAGAGTAAACCCTGAAATTCAATGATATATTGAAAATATTGTCACAGGGACTGGGTAAGTACATCTTGCCATATGCTTTTTTATCATACCAGATACTCCTCCCTCCACATTTAGCATACAGAGGTAACGTTGACATGTGCAGAGCATGAGACTGCAGTTTTTTAGTGTATTAACCTTTATTTTCTCAAGTGTTCTATGAAACCCTTGGCGTCCTTACTACAGAAGATAATCTCACTGCTCTTTTCCTAGGCATTGCATACCTGTTTGCCAAAGCTTACCTGGTTTCCAAGAAGCCTCAATATCTGGACACTTGTATCCGCTGTGGAGAGCTGACTTGGCAGAAAGGCCTGTTGAAGAAGGGCCCTGGAATATGCCACGGAGTGGCTGGTAGTGCTTATGTGTTCCTGCTGCTCTATAGGCTCACTGGAAACTCAAAATACATATACAGGGCACAAAGGTTAGCATTCCTGTCTTCTGGATGTAGGGTAATACTGGAAAGTTTCAGGAACATTTATAGAGCAGCTCTGTCTGTGATCACCACTCGGTGGTAACATGAGCAGTGAGTTGCAATGAGCTGTGGGGCAGGAGCTCTGCAGTCCTGCTTCCAAGCTGCCTGTGGTGGGAGAAGCATCAGGTTCTCCCAGGCTGCCTCCCTCCCTCCCTCCCTGCCCGAGATCCTGTGCTCTTTCAGAGGGAACTGGGCTGGATGTGGAGGGATGATGTGCAACCAGGTATCATCCTGATGCGAGTTCAGAAATCAGCCAAGTTGTGTACCTGAGTCCAGCAGCAGAGTAAAACATGATTTGTTACATTTTTCTCAGAGCATTTAATGCTATTTCTTTCTACTAGAAGTGGGAAAATAAATATAGGACATGATTTGCTGTTATTTTACAGGTTTTTAATTTATCCTTCCCACCTTTAGCCAGTTTGACATTGTGCTGTTCAGTTTAGCTAGTGGAGTTAATTCCATTTTCTACAGATGCAAGCATGTATGATCCAGTGAAAATTCTGTCACAGTGCTGCAACTAGCTTTAATTATACATCTGTAACTTAAATGCATATGTTTAAAAACATAGAATTCAATGTTTGTTATTGTTTCCCTTACAGCATAGGACAGTGAGGGAAAGTGGTATAAAAATTAGGGTGATTTATTTTCAACCACTTGCTTTGAAGTGAGAACCTTTTATTTGTGTAGTTACTTCAGCATGACAGAATTTGTTGCATCAGTGTGAAACCTTGCTTGCATCCTAAAGGTTATTAAAAAGTACTTGTTTAATGATATGTCTTACAGAAATCAGAAAAAATTTACAGCTCTTAAACAAGCAAAATGCACATACAGATTGCAAAGGTTTATCTCTTCAAAATCTAATGGACCTCAATTTCTTGTGGAAGTTGGATAGTGTAGAAGTTACAGATAAGGTTAAATAATGATCATTCTATTTTTTTAATGGCTGAATGTTATTAAAATGATGCTTTGAAACAATAGGTAAGTAGACAGAGTGAGATATCAAATAATAACAAACTCTTTTTTTTTTCTCTCTCTTAGATTTGCAGAGTTCTTATTTACAGAAGAATTTAAGGCTGGTTCCCGGGCACTAGAAAGTGTATATAGTCTGTATGAAGGTTTTTCAGGAACTGTGTGTTTCCTGACTGACTTGCTGCAACCCAACCAAGCCGAGTTTCCTCTCTTCAGTGTCTTTGTCTAAAGACTGACACCCTCCAGGGCCACATCCCGGTGGCGATGGGGGAGGGCACCTGCAGTTTCACTTTTTTTGTCAAGACAGGCTATTTACAAAACGAGCCAGTGGTACCACTAATGCTAGCCTTAATGTAGCTGGGAGTCAGGTGAAAAAGAAAACACACTGGGGCTTTAGGAGGGAAGTGTGTGGTCACCAAAAATGGGTCAGTGAAAAAAAAAGGGGGGTGGGGGGAAGTGATTGAATCTGATGGGGTAGATATTTAGCTATAATAAGAAGCATAATCTAATCATTTAAGTGGGAGAGAAAGGGGCATTATCATACTTTTAATTTGGCAGTTACACAGGAGAAAAAAAAAAGTCAAACTAGAGTTGCAGGGACACGCAAAGAAGAAACAGTGATGCACTCAGTAGGTTTTAAAAAGAGTCTTGCAAAGACAATTCATGAAGCAATGCACTTACTGGGGAAGGTGTTGTAGACATTTCACTACACTGCACAAAGGCAAAATCTGGGACTTCTTTACTTCAACCACATCTGCTAGTTTTAGTAACACGTATTAGGAATACCTGTATCTTGGAGCTCTTTCCTCTTCATGTGCATGTAATGACAGTTCTGTAGATAGCTGTGTGTTCGGGCTGCAGTTTCACAGTTTGTTTCAGCAAGTGGGGTCTCGTGTGTAAATGAGCACTGAATTTGACCCTTCCTTTCAGAGCTCAGTCTGTGACAAGGAGCTGGTCTCCTTGCTGACTTATTGTAACCCTGTCACTTGTCAGTAATTTCCTGGTCACTGGGAAGGTGGGTGGAGCTGTGGAGAAGACTTGGTTAAAAAGGTTCTGTAGCAAAGATACAGCAGGCAGATGCTTTCTTCATGATACAGCATTGCTAGATAAGTATTGTTCAGTGACACAAAAGCTTCCTTTAAAAATTACTTATAGCAGCATTTCTGAACAGTAACATACATATTTCAAACAATGGAAAAACCTGTTTTCCTTGATGAATTATTCACTATAAACCCTGCAAACTGAATGCAAACCTTGGATGACATACTGATCTTAAGAAAAACCTGGTAACAAATTCAAAATTGCTTCTTTTCCTAGTAAACAAAATAGTGTATATGCCCAAACGATTTTTAGCTATATAAATAAATGGGTTGCTCAATACTAGTTGCACTAGCACTTAAGGTTGCAATTATATGCTGTTTTATATGTATTATAGATGTGACATGGTTCTTGAAAGCTAAAGAAACCATTGACGTAGATTTGTACTAAAAATATAAAAACAATATCTGTAGTTAATATATATTTACTATTTATTCATTTATTTTTATTTATATGGGAATATTGTAACACAATTATCTGTAAAGACAAATTGGAAAGACCAGTATGTCAGAAACGGAAGTTATAGAAAAAAAGCAGATGTACATGCACTGCCAAACAATGCAGTCTCTCTTCCTGCATTCTCAGCTGGAGGAGATTACAATTTCTTTATTTTTAATGCCTAATGGATTAAAGTTCCCATTTCATTTCAGTGGGCTTTGATCAGGCTATAAGTTGGAGCAGGGTCTTGAAATCCCTCCACATTTTAATGTAATAATCCCATTCCTGTTCTTGCCACTGTAATTTTAATGAGATGGGTTGCATGACTATGAGCTGCAGATAAGGATTTCTGTTATTTTGTCTTGCCCTGTGCAGCTCTAATTAATTACTTAATAATAGAAATAACCATATTTCATTAGTGAATAAAGCAATGCAGTTCTGTATCAGTTTGTCAAGAATTTAGGTATCTTTTAGCAAATGCAAATGTTACAAATCAAGATACATTTGCTATGTGTTTATTATTTGTGGGTTAAAAGGTCTTCTAAGAAAGCCATAAATGTCACTTAGTTGATTACTCTGAGCAGTGAGATGTGTGCACATGGAAGGATGAATTCCACAGGGAGGTGTACATGTGAGGCTGAATCAAAAAGTCGGTGGAGATGTGTGTGAGCTCTGCCCAGCAATGTTGAAATGCTCCTGTTAGATCAGAGCAAAGTCAATTATCAGTAAAGATCCCATCTCCATTAGGATGTTTATCTAGTTGCTTCCTGTAATGCATGTGGCTCATATATTTCATAACTGGAATCTTTTTAAACAAATGTCTAAGGAAGGTAAAACTTGGTGTATCCACTTTCGCAATGTGATCTAAAACTTTTCAATCTCAATTTTTGTTGTAGGGTAATGTCACTCAGCTGAAGCAAGTGAGTAACAACATTTGTGCCACAGCATTTAAATAGCTACTATAACTGTGTTCTGTCTTACACTAAACCAGAGAAATAGGTTTTGCTGTGATCTGGACTGAAACTTTTGCAATCCTTCATTTATTGCTAAGTCTTTTATTTAGAGATACAAACATAAACCAAAAGCGTCTAGTGTTTTGATAACTACACCTTAAAAAAACCCTAAACAACTCCAAACTTAAGCCTTAACAGAATCTACACGTATCAGAATAGTAATCATGAACTTTTAACTTTGTCCCAGTGCCTACTTTTTAATTATCAGTGGGCCACAACATTTAATTGTTTCCAGTTAGTTATCTCTCAGGAGATGCTTGAGAATGAAAACCATTGCCAAAACCTCAATAAATCTAGAGCATGATGAATCAGTAACTTAGATTCTGACCAAGTTACAAGTGCTAATACCATAACATATACCACATGTGTTAAAATTTACCATAATAGCAGTAGACAAAATCACTCTGTTTTATTATACTTTACTTCCAATGGTCAAGTTTGCATTTATCTTTAAATGTGATTCTTCATAAATGGCAGGAAATAAATCAAGAACTCAGTGTCAGTTTTCTAGTGGTTTTTCCTCTGTGTCCCTTTGTAGAATTAATTCCTTCCAAATTACATTCAGAGGAGACTGATCTGCTCTTTGTGTTCAACAGCACCCGCAAAACAGATCTTTCTCCACAGCTGTTCTCCATATATGAAGCCATGTGTTTGGCTTCATTTGATACTAATCTCCTGACAAAGAAAATAGTTACTTGAGTAAGAGTTAGTCCATTCAACAATAAAAAAAACCCATGTAACTGCCCAATTTTTGAAATCTAGGTCCCAAACATCTTTCTGCAGGTTATGCGACTTGGTCACTGACTTTAGCAAGGGCAGCACACAAATATCCAGTGTCATGGTTTGCATCTAGTAAAAATTTTGGAACATGATTATTCATCTCTTTCATCAGACATGGCAGTTTGATCTCATTCTTAGAGCTTTGTGGCTTTTCTTACCTGACCTGGCTGGGTTAAGGTGGCTACTAGATGTGCTGCAGTCACAGCTTCTGAACACAGTGTAAATACACCCAGGGCTCTTCCAAAAATCCCAGTTATTAAATGAGCAGGGGTTTTTTTTCATCTTTTCCCTCCTCTTTATTGCCTATCTTGATTTTATTCTTTGTACTATATATGCTGTTACATACATGCTGTTGCAACCTTTATTTGTTGCTTTTAAGACAATGACAGGAAAGTAACCTGAGCAGAACCATCGGCACTTTTCGGTGTAATAAAAAGTAAGGTTCTTTGTGTTCCCTTCTTCCTGCTTGGAGAAATCAATCATGCAACCTTTGCTAGACATTCTCCATGAGCTGCTGTCTCCTCCTGCTCCTGAGTTGGGCCCCAATAGACTGAAAAAGTGTATGATTCTGCCATGGTGCTGTGACAAAGGACTGTGTTACTGGAAACTCGAGGGGCCTCTTTCGAAGTGTAAAACACAAGTAACTACGTCATGTTTGCACATTAGTTTCTTGACTGTGTTTAGTTTCTAAAGTGTAGGCAATAGGAATTTAAGTGATATAATAGTATTTCTGGTTATGGTGTTAAAGCAAAGAGGATGCATTGTGTGGGTATTGATGCTTATTTGTGATGTGCCTGTGTTTGTGTGGTGCTGTTTGTGATTAAAGCTGTAGATTACACATCAGTTTAATGACTTTCATGTTCATGACTTTTGGTCTGTCACCCATAGATTACTGTCAGGGAATAATTTTGAGAGAAACTAGATTGGTAATGTCCAGATGTATTGATTTCAGGATTCATAGAACCAGACTCAATAAGTTTTATCAACAATACAGTTCTAACAAATATATCTTCATTTTTACCTGCTACTCACAACTTCTCATCATAACAACATGTTCATTTTGTGCCACTGCTTTCAGTGCTTTCAATATCTGCTTTGTTTGCATCATTGTTGCCTTTGGTTTCCCTGCCTTTCTTTCCCAACCTATGAATAACTAGAGAAGGCTGAAGAAGCAGCCCAGGTCTTTTGTTCTTGAAAATAAGATTGATTTTGCTTAAGCAGGGTATTCCACTAACTTGCCTTACATTATTTTATGCTTCCAGGTGGTCTCTTCTCACTGGCTCTGCCATTTCCCACTTGCTAAGGAAAAGTCATTATACTGTGTAATGACTGTCACTGATGTTTTACATCATGGAGCATGGTCACTTCTCTAGTATCTCAATTCTATTAAGACAATCAAAACCAAGTGAAATGGCTTAACATTCCAAAATTCACCTTTAATTAGTTCTGGGAAATACACATAAACAAATACAAGTAAAGTGGTCACCCTTATTGCTACTCTGTCAGATTAATGGCATTTTGATGTTGTGATGCTAATTATATATGGGCATGTAAACAATATCAGAATACTGATATTTTTTAAAATATTGTGAAAAAAATTGAGATATAGGTATCTGGTGTATTCAGCAGCATACAGGGGCAATCTGTGCAAATGGAAACTTTGATAAGCAATCAGCTTTTTGTACTTACATAGTTATCTGCATATACAGTTACAACATCTGCCAACATATTGCATGTTTTATGCCAACAGTGACCTATTTTAGTGTGTGCATGCATTTTGAGAATGTACCCTTGTTCTTTGGATCTCTGAGGTCTGCCAAGTAAATCTCAGGTGCAGTAATCTTCTCCTGTATACCTTGAATATTCTCTGGCATGAGTGTGTATTCTAATTTGTAGGAAGATTAGTATATCAGGAATAAGAATTGCCCTATAGATTTTTTTAAAGAGTAATCTTGATGTGGAGAACTACACTGATGAGCAATTGCTGGTCAGCAGCTCAGCCTGGACATTTCAGTTTATATAATTATGTCCTGGACAAAGTAGTAAGCAGCAGAAAGCTAAATTGAAAAGAAATAAGAAAATGAAAGAAAATGACCAAAAATCACACTACTAGGGGAGCAACATACTTCAAAGCCATAAGCCAAAAACACTCAGGGCCCACAGAAAACAATACAGCAGTTTAGGGATGTGAATAGGCATTTTCCTAGAAAATAGCACAGTGTGCTTCACTGCACAGGTAGTGGTACAGCATCCACTGTGCAGGTTTCAGCTGCCTTGAACAGCACTTCATTGCCATTATAGCAAAGTCATCATATGCTGAAAAAGTTTGCCTGTGAAGGAGTTGCCTGTAGCTGAACCTACTGCCTGCTGGAACAGAAGTGATGTACACTATTGATGCTGAGGCAGTTTAAAAAAAAAATACATTCAAGAAGCCAACAAGCTCCAACTTTTCAACCTGCCTTTGAATTACTAAACCTCCTGACTAATTTGTATTGTCACCATTGGTCCTGTACCCTTTATATTTAAAATTCTATATCATGCTCTTGAAAAAACTCACAGTTTTTATATAGCAATCTGCTTGAAAATATGTAAGGCCATGTTTATTGTTGATACTTAGAAGGTTGTATTTTGGAAAGCCCCTTGACTTTGTTCATTGCATGAGTCAATGAGACGGTGGAGGCATTTAGGTCAAGTACAGCAATATCAACTGGAATGGCAGCAAAATAAATAAAACCTCATTTTGCCAAGTGGTATAATGATATTTGAATAAAAGATACTTTACAGTGCAGTGATATTCAGTGACAGCACTGCATGGCTATATGTGCATACTCCAGAGAAAATGTTATAAAGAAGTCCTGAAGTCAATTATATTTTATAGGGAATAGAAAACCAATCCTAATCAAGCCTATATTTCTACTTCAGATAGAAGAGAAAGGCTGTCTGACCAGAAATTTAATTCTGCTCTGTCTTCATTACCATGACCACACATGAGAGAAGAAAGATTTCCTCTAACAGTGGTCTGATTTTGCCACTGGTTCAGCCTCCTGCACTCATTTTAAGGGCCTGACATGCCACCTTCTGATGTCAGTGATGAACCTCCACTTGATTCCAGGCGTGCATGGTAGGTCCACATATGTGAAACAGGGGCAAAACTATTATTCCAGACCCCAAGCCTACAAACTTTCCTTCACACATGAGTCCCATGGAATTAGTAAGGCTTGTCTGTACAGTATGAGGAAAGCACAGATGTTTGCATATGCAGGGCCCTATTTGATAGCAGTTTTATACACATTTTCTCTCAGTATCTCTGCAATATACATGAACGCCGATACCAATGAAAAATACAGGGAACTTAAATGGCATTATTTCATGTCTAGTTTGTGTTGGTGACACTTGATTATTCAGTATATTCCAGCGTGTGATATTCATTCCTTGAGTACGTGCCACACCCTAGGTTGGTTTCTCAGTGTTACAGCCATTCACAGCCATGATGTGGTACAGGCCCATAGAATCAAGACTGATTTGATTCTTTAGATATGCACCTTATTGTTTAAAAGCAGGACCCCTGTCCTGCTTTTCTAATATTTTAAACACTGTGATCTTTCAGAATGTGTTTATTGTATTAGTTTTGTATTGTAGATTATGATAGAAACTAGATTTTATAGCTTTTTAAAAGCAGTGATAATATTAAGCTTCCTAGTGGCAGAACAAACTCTGTGTATATCCGTATTATGAATATTAAAGCTGTGATTATATTTTGCCTTAAATAAAAGTCCAACCTTGAACAGTATGATTTTGTGTCGGATTGATTATTTCTGTACTTATCTTTCATAATGCTGGCAACTTTTCAGAAGAGTCATGACTCAGGGCTCCAAAAGCTTTTCAGTGGTACTATGTAAAATAAATCATCTTAGAATTAGATAAATTATCCAGGCTGCACATAGTGCTTGGGTAAAACTACCTCATGGTAGTTTCCCATGAGACAAAGCAGGTTGCTTTTGGCCTGTAGATTAAATTTTTTCACTTAGGTGTTTATTTTCAACCTGCTTAAATCTCAGTTTTCACGACCTCTTCTCTTTCCAGAAAGATCCCTCCACTCCCAGTGAAGGATGCTAGAGCATTACATTCACCTAGGCCTACCCATAACAAAGTTTCCATCTTTGCCATCATGAGCTTGAATTCAACTAGAGCTCAGCAATGGGACTCCAGATTTCCCAGAGCAGCAGTTCAAGAAATGGCATTTTTTAAAATTCTGGTGACAAACTAAGTTGCATTAAAGAATAGTAGCAGACATGCAGAAGTAGCTATTAGCATTATCCCATTAATAGGCTAATAGCTCCACATCCTGCCTTCCTGTTGTGCTCCTGCTAGGTCCCAGATCTCTTTTGTTAACCTCCATGTGCCAAGTCTGCAATTACCTGGGAACAGGCAAGGAGAAACAAGATCTATCAGGGCAGGCATCAGAACCAGCTGAGCGTGAACAAAGTGCCTGCACCAAGAGGCAGAGAGAAATGGCAGTGACTGGAGACCCCTCCTGTGCAGGATAGAGGCACCATCTGCCAACCTGACCTGGTACCTCAGCAGTTTTGTTTCTTGCCAGGTGCTCAGATTCAGGATCTGAGAGATGGAGAGACTGCAAAGGCTCATCTTTCCCTCAGGCTGTTGCCTTGTGCCACTTGTCCATGCAGGCATCAGTGACACAGGCAGGGTGACATTTCCAGAAGGACCGCAGAGCTCTGGTGAGCAAGGGAGGAAGGATCCTGCTGGTGAATGGGAAAGGCTCAGGGACACTGGGCAAGTGCTACGGGCTGGTGTCACAGCATGTGCTTAGTGTTCTGTGACCTCAGGAACCTTTGCAGGAAAAGGGCTGGGAAGCAAGGGTGAGACCCACCTGACAAAGTGCTAAAAGGGCACCTCTGCCACTGCCTCACTGCCCTGCTGAGGGGGCTCTGAGCTGGGTACAGCAGAGGAGTCTCTAGGGTGCTCACAGCTCCCTCTCCGCCTTTTGTTTCTTTGGTTTTTTGTTGTCGTTGTATTTATTTATTTAATTTTTTATCAGCTGTCTCTCAGCCTTTTTTGTTGCACAGGGTTATTTTTTTTCCAGGTACAGGACTTTGCCCTTGCCTCCTTTCTTCAGTATACTTATTCAATCACCCTCTGTAACTACCTGAAATGAAGTTGTACCCAGGTGGGGGGGCGGCCTCTTCTCCCAGGCAGCCAGCAATAGGATGAGAGGACATAGTCTTAAGCTACACCAGGGGAGATTTAGGTTGGACATTAGGAGGAATTTCTTCACAGAAAGGATGGTTAGACATTGGAATGGGCTTCCCATGGAGGTGGTGGAATCACTGTCCCTGGAGGCGTTTAAGGAAAGACTGGACGTGCCACTCAGTGCCAAGTTGACAAGGTGGTGTTCGGTCATACCTTGGACTCCATGACCTCAGAGGTCTTTTCCAGCCTAATTGATTCTGTGAGTCTGTGATCCCTCCAGCCTGACCAAGCGCCCTGGGAAGCACCCGCTCCCCTCTCCCCGCCCCGACCGATCCCCCTCAGTTCAGCGCTGGATCTTGGGGCCGAAGAAGCCGTGATGAGGGGGTGCTCCCCACGAAGGAGCCGCCATGAGGGGGTGCTCCCCACGCACCGCTGGAGAACCTTTCTCGCTTTACAGCCCAGCTCGGGCCGAGCCCCGGCAGCGCCGGCCGCTGTGGCCGGAGCGGCGGCGGAGGCCGCGGTCCGGCGCTGAGGGCGGCGGTGAGGGCGGCGGCGGCTCCCCCTGGCGGGCTCGGCGCGGCACCGCACCCACCGCACCGCGCCTCAGCTGGGCGGGCCGGGCGGGCCGGGCTGGGGCGGCGGCGGCGGCGGCGATGAAATTCCCGGGCTCCGTCCTCGTCTCCCTCGTCCTCTTCTTGTCCGAGACGACGGCCGCCCTGTGCCTGAGCGCGGCGTACCGCGCGGCGGGGGACCCCATGTGGCACTGGCTGACGCTGCTCTGCGCCCTCCTGCCCTGCGTGCTGGTGCAGCTCAGCCTGGTCTTCATTCACCGCGACGTGACCCGCGACCGCCCGCTGGTGCTGCTGCTGCACCTGCTGCAGCTCGGGCCGCTCGTCAGGTCGGTGAGTCCGTCCCGCCCCTCGGCGGGGCCGGGGCCGAGCGCGGGGGGCGCCCGGAGCCCCCCGGCCTTTGTGCGGAGCGGGCGCGGCCGCTGCCGCTCTGCACCGGCGGGCGCCGCGTCCTGCCGGTCCTGCCTCTGAACGGCGTCCTTTGGGAATGCCCTCAGGTTCTGAGCCTCAGGGAAAAGGGGCTCAGCCCTGCCGGGCCCGCGGGGAGCCGGCAGAGCCCCCGTCCGCGTCCCGCCGCTGCGCTGGTTTTGCATCGCCGTGGCTCCCTGCGGGTGGCTGTGTCTGTTCGCTGCCGGCTCATCCAGAGCGCTTTGCTCGCAGGTGACTTCCAGGAGGGAAAGGGAAGGTTCGCTCGGTTGGGCGTTTAGGACAACGATAGTGATGCTCTAGTCAGTCTGTTCTTTCCAAATGTGAACTTCTGTTCTTTCCAAATGTGAACTTCTTGCCCCAAATTGCTTTTGGAGATTTTTTTTTTCAACTTCAGTTTAACTTCTCTCTGAAAATACCCTTAAGTAGAAAAAGAAATCCCAGATAGATGAAAAGCTACAGGGGTACTGCAACTCCCAAGTCAAAATGTTTGCTGGGGGCGTTCATTTTAAATTTACATTCCTATCTTTTATTTTAAAAGAAAGGTGATTAAATGCAGTGCATCTGAAGAAGAGGCTGGGAGAAGCATCAGCAACTTTTTGAAATTCCTGGACAGTGTGGGAAAGGAAGATTTGTTCACACTAAGAAGGGTGAACAGTTTGGATGTTACAAAATATCTTACACATCAAAAACATGACTTCTATAACCACGACTGTGTTTTGTTAGTATTTTTGGTTTTTTAAGATTTTAAAGATATTTAAGTTATGGCTAAACAGTTAGTTCTTGAAGAGCTCTGATTTCTAAAAGCTGAGAATAAAGTAATTCTACATTCTTTGGAAAATAAGAGAGGAACCAAAGAGAAAGAAACTATCAAAATAAAAACTATGTTGGTGACTTTTGTCATTCTAAATCAATTTCTTGAGGTCAGATAAGGAAAGAATGTCATGTCAAGCTGGAAGATGTGAATAAACAAATAAAGGATGTAAACAACCAAAAAAAATTGGAGGATTTTCTTTCTAATTATCTGAAAGAAACAGACTTCCTCTTTGACCTTAACCACCAGGCATGACTTGGCTTTCTCTTTCTTTCTCAATATCAAGTTTATCTGTTTACAACACAAGTCTCACGTTGTGCAGAGCACACTTTCTGCTCTGTTGGTGAGCTCCCAGCCACAGTCACTACTGTAAAACTAGTGGGCATATGGAAGCCCTCTCCTCTCTTCAAGTGTGTTGCCAACTCTGCAATTCTGCCTTTCTCAAAGATTTACAAACCTGGCATTTCCAGAAGGTTTGAAGATGTTCTGGAGGTGTTGCAGCATGCCTGTGCCACAGTCCCCACGACATCATTTGGACATTACAAGGTGATGTATGTTGACTTCTCTCTAAACCCAGGATAACTGGAACTATAACTACTACTAAAAAGAGGGTAGTACGTTCATGCTACCTGAGCAACCTATTTCCTGCTAAAGGCTGGAGGGACTCTACAAAACAAAAACTTCATAGAAAATGACCTCTCTTTAGTTTCCAGGAAATATGTCTATATGTAGGATGCAGCACAGAAATGTGGGAAGATGAAGTGATCAGTCTGAGGCAGGCAGTAAAGGGATTTTGTTTTGGGGTTTTTTTTCTTCCCTTGCCTTCCTGCAGCTAAACATTGCTGTATCTGTCAGAAGAGGAAACTGATTGCTTCCCCTAAGTTGTAGCTCTGCACTGTATGAGTTTAAGGGGTTTCAGCACATGAAATACTTTTACATTTCCCTGCTTTACACAGGAGGCTTTCTATCCTGTGTGGACTGCCATGCCCACAAGTGGTAGCTAGAAGGCAAAATATTTTTTGGCTGTATCATCACTGCACTGGGGCTTTAACTTTTGTAAACTGAAAAGGACCATTGTCCTTGGAGGGATTTTGTTCCATCCTTGTAGGCAAACCTCTGCTCCTTTACCTACTGTTCTTAGTCATCTGCTTCCCTGGTGTGAAGCCTCACTCCATCCTCCCTGCTCAGTCTCTTGTATCTCCCTGGCACAGCCCAGGGTTGTTTAGAGAGAGCTGGGCCACATTTGGTCAAATAGGACACAGGCAGTAGAGCCTCCTCAGGCTCTGTCTGCTTGTGGCATCAGAGTGAAGTGTTTAAGAACCTTTAGGCTGTGTGAGATGACACTCTGCAAAAGAGGGCTGGCTGCTTTGGCTGGCTTAAAAAAAGCTAACACCCACCTTTTAACCATCTTTTTTCTGGTTTGGTATGATACAGGATAGTCAGGATTTCTCTGTTCAAACTCAGATACTGGGATATCAGTGCACTGCTTACCAACAGCCCATATATGCTTTGTGAGGTTTTCTTCATCATCTTAAAATATAGACTTTTTTCTCCCCTTCCTTTTTCCTTAAAAAAAAAAAAAAACAAACCTTTAAATTCTGGGGAATGGTTTGGGAATATCTTGGCAGGGAAGGAGGGTGTTGAACTCTGCAAGAGAAATGATCCAGCCTATTTTGAATCATCTGTGTGTTGGGAAGAAAGTACATTCTCTCATAGAACCTTCTTGCATATCACCACCTTCCCCAAACACCCACACTCCACCTGTTCGGG